CCGATAGAATTAGTGGCAATAGTCGTCGATATCTTTATTATCATTGTTATTTTGTTATCATCATCAGCAGATGCAAGATTTCCTTCGAGGTTTTTGTTTGATAATTTATTTTATCGGCATCATCATTGTTGTTGTTATTTTTATTTCCGAAACCGAAAAAAATAACAATTATTATCTTTGGGAGGAGATGGGTCGATCATTGTAATGGAATGTAAGGATGAATTATAATAAGTATCGGCATTACTAGAATTGTCAAAACTATTCACGTTAAAAATGTTAATTATGTCGTCATTATTGTTATTGTTGTTGGTGTTAGAATCACTGATATATTGATCACTATTACTAGTGTTACCCATATTTTGTTTCATAAGCAGATCTTGTTCATTCATAAGATCGTTAAATTTAAAATCGTGATACGCTCCACTGCTATGATTACAATCTGTCGAAGCATTTTGTAAGTGTTCGTTCGTGGATTTTTGTATAATAGTTGGTACAGTATAATGTTGTTCCCTTAGTTTGTCAAGATATTCAACAACAGATTTGATATCTGGTCGATTATCTGGGTCTGAGTCCCAACATCTAGTGCATAAATCAAAGTACTCTTCAGGAGTTCCATCAACCTTAGTTTCTCTTTCACCAGATAAATAAACATCCTGATCATTTTCAATCCATTCGTATGGTGGTTTACAACTTGAGATTTGCCATAACAAAATTCCTAAACTAAAAATGTCCGATTTCTCGTTTTTAGGGTGTTCGAGACATCTGGGATCTGTATATCTAATTTTTCCATAAACTTTTTCTCTAGATTTTGACAATCCGAAATCCGAAATCTTAATATTATCATCGACTATAAGAACATTTCCCGCATGCTACAACAAATATTTATAGCGATAGTAAGGTTAATGTTAATGTTAACAATGTGTTAATGCTATACTATTAAAGAAAGAAAAATCATTAAAGAAGTACCAAGTCTCGATGAATTATTCCTTTACTATGCAATGCTTGTATGCCACTAGCAAGCTGATATGCCAAACCTAACTTTTTTGTCCAGTCCAATTTATCAACATTTGCAGACAAATATTCATGGAGCGTCCCGTGGTTAGCGAATTGTAAAACCAATGAATAATTTCCCGATTTAGGATCTATTTTTATAATTTTCGTATAATAAAAAAATAGAATGTATTACTAATTAATTTTTTATTTATTGGTTTTTAAATGTAAAAAAAATATTACTTTGCGTTATCCCATAAATATTCAAAATATTTTCATGGCCATCAACTTGATTATGTGATCTAAACTAAAAATAGTCACGTAATATTACTTTAGTGATAGATAACTAATTACAAATACTCACGGGTCTAAATAATGTTATACCTCGTGGACAAATTGTTTCATAACTTCACCGTCATCTTTTTTCGTCTTTTTCATAATTTCTTTCAATGCTACATCCATATCACTCTTCCATTTGGCTCTATAAACTTGTCCCGAAGCACCTTTATTGATATAAGTAATACCAGAAAATATGTTGTAAGGAAATTTAACTATTTCTGCGTCGTCCAACCATTTCTTTGGATCTTTTAAAGTTCCCTTAATTATTTCGGAATCATTGTTATTGTCGTTGCCGTTGTTGTTGTTGCTGTTCCTGTTGCTGTTGCTGTTGTTGGGTGTTAAATTACTGGTAGTTGTATGGGGTGCTGAATTATTGTTATTGTTGTTATTATCCTTAATAATAATATTATTATAAAGGTTATTAATGTCGGTTATATCATTATTATCGATGAATTTTTTTTTAAAAAATATCTTTTTGATGTTAAAAAAATCCTTAAATGATTTTTTTGTTTTTTCCTTCATTGTTATTCTCATTTTAAATGTAATTTACACTAAAAGAAAGAAGAAAAGGAAATTCTAAATTGTCGATTATTTTATGATTCATCGAAAATAATAATGATGAAAAATGACCTTTTCAATGAAAAAAATTAATTTGGTAAAAGTGAAATGCAAGCTACTAAATATATGTATTATAATAGTAGTAACATTTCGGGAAACTTGCAGTTAATTTTAACGCCCACAGGGAGGTATTAATATTAGTAATTCGAAGTTGCGCCACATACAGGTGACTAGAGTTGCGAGCACAACTTTAAAATTTAAAGAAACGGTTTATATTTAACGCTTTCCCTACGTCAGTATTATATACTATGAAACAGATGTATTTTTATATTCAAGCATACAGTAGTTTAATAACATTATTAATAGGTTTAGACAATGCATTAATAACACAATTATTATAAATTTTATTTAATAAACAGCATCAAGATGTAATGTTTGAAGGATCAAAAGGAATTGTATTAAACTTGATTTGATTTGTAAATTTTAGTATAAAATATTTTTCAATACAATATAAACTTGGGACTTAATCTTTTGCATATTTTGAGAATTATTAACGCTGCAGTCATGTCTCTACTATCACCACAATTATTCAGGTAGCTCCACAAATTCACCTTCGCTTACCTTTTAAATAAGGAATCCATTGAAAAATTTCATAACCCGTTGCTTTAACTGGATGATTTAATCAACTTGTCAATATTTTCATTACCATTAAATCAATGTGTTGCATAATTTACACAATTCCCAATTAGTATTATATTCACATTTAAGCTTGCTTGCTTTATACCATATTCAAAAACCTTTCCATTAAAAGAGAATTTTATTTCAAAATTCATATAATTAGATTTTATAAAATATCAACACACTTTTAATTGTACCTTGTAATTGTAGGTAGAACATTAACTTGTGAAATATCAAATCCTTAACACACATAGCCTTTAAATAATAAATATGTTTTAAGCAATTAAGAATAAATTATTAATTAATAGAGTCGGTGGATTGGTTCAAAGCTTAATAGGTTGCATAAACTGGCATTTGGATGAAATTTTGCGGTAATTTTTCATAATTAATCTGATTTGTCAAAGTTACCCTTTAGTACATAAATAAAGAGTAACTCTATTTATTAAATTATCAGCAAATGCACAACATAATTTTGGGCAGTTTGATTAATTACCTGGGTGTTTATAATCCAAAGACTTATTTATACACTAACTGGACAAAAGTCACGCACACCCTAAAACAACTAATTACACAAAAACGTACATATTAATATACAAAAAAATAATGTCATTTTGTAACCTAGGTCCTTGTTAATCCATATGCAAATTTTCATTTCTCTAACGTTTCTAAGAAAAATAATAAATAAAAAAATAAAACTTGGTCCGAATTTTTTTTTCCAAGAAAATGATCATCAAAAACATCAACAAAAAAAAAATTGCTCAAGAACTCGCATAATAATCATGTCTAAAATTTTAAATAAAATCAATATTTGGTTGGCCACCCATTATTATTAATAACAGCTTCTATTCTCCTTGGCATACTTTCTATCAGTCTGAATAGAACATCCATTGGAATTTTACTCCATTCTTCCTGTAATGCGAACTCCAACTCATTAATATTTTTCATATTTTTTGGGTGCCTTCTAATTCTTCTTTCCAACTTTGACCATAAATGTTCAATTAGATTCAAGTCAGGGGACTGACTTGGCCAATTAGACAAAACATTAATTTTATTTGTTAAAAACCAATTTTTTACAACTTTCGCAGTATGGACGGGCATTGTCATCTTGATACAAATACCCCTCTTATTAAAGTCTTTTTCAATTAAAGTAACAAATGGTTTTCTAGTATTCGTATATATCCTAAGCTATTTAATTTACCATCCACTTCTATCAATGGGCCCAAACGTTTTCCTGAAAAACAACCCCACATCATCAAGCCTCCACCTCCAAACTTCACAGTAGGAGTCATGTTTTCAATATTAAACCTGGTACCAGGAGTTCTCCAAACATATCCTGGTCCATCATTTTTATAGATTGTAAATCTACTTTCATCACTCCAAATGATAGATTTCCATTTTCTAACCGTCCAACTCCTTCTCTCAAGACACCAATTTAATTGATTAGTTCTTTGTTGGTCATTTAACATTGGCTTTGCTGCAGGAACATGAGAAAAATATTTAATTCATGTAATGTTCTTTTAATAGTCTTAGTTGAAACATCACTATTTGTTTTTTCATTAAATTTGTTTTTTATTTGCTCAGCAGACTTTCGATTATTTCGCTTTAAAATTTTTTTTAATGTTTTTTGATTTTCATTGTTGATTAATTAATTTTGGACAACCATTTCGCTGCTTTGTAGCAAGACCTTCACCATCAATATGTTTTTTAATAGTACGAGATATTGTTGTTCTATGAATATCAAGAATTTTGGCTATTTTGGAAATGGGTTCATTATTTTTGTAAAGACAAATAATTTCGCTACGTTGAATTTCAGTCAAAGCCAACATTTTTAAATTTTTTTTAAATTTTCAAAATATTTATTAAAAATCAAGCTTGTTTACAAAAAAAATTCATAACATCACATATGGTTATTTAAGATGCGTATTATCATATGTTAAAATTTCAGACGAGGTTATAATGCACGTTTTTATTCAATTCTTTTTTTTTTTGAAGTGGGAATATTTGGGGGAAAAAAATTCGGATCAAGTTTTATTTTTTTATTTATTATTTTTTTTAGAAACGTTAGAGAAATGAAAATTTGCATATAGATTAATAAGTACCTAGGTTACAAAACGACATTATTTTTTTGTATATTTATTATGTACGTTTTTATGCAATTATTTGTTTTAGGGTGTGTTTAAGCTTTATAGTTTTTTATTACATGCTACATCGAAAAAAATATCATTAATAAAAGTTCGCCTGCATCAAGCCTATAATTTATTAACTTTGTATACTCATGTCCAACTTTGTAAATAGTTAATAATAATAGTAATAGTAGTAGTAATAGTATGGTTTTATTTTTCCGATTTCACATGCAATTATATGCAATTTGAATTAGATTTATCGAGACAATGAATTGCAGACCTTGATGATGGGAAAACAGATTGTGAGAAGGGATGCCAAGCGTGAGGTCGAGAAATGCAGAGCTTAAGGCCAAGTTCGTAAAAATTATTGAGGATATCAAGAAGCAGGCAAGAAATGATATTTCTTTTGAAACAATTGATACTCCCGAGAAAAATGCGACCAATGAGTATTCAAGTGATGGAGAAATTCGTTTTGATCATTAAAAATACACAGTAAATCTCGGTTTAACGGATAGTTTGGGCAATTAGGGAAATTTTTCGTTAAACTGAGAAATTCGCTATATCGAGAAGGTTTTTATTAAGGAACCGTTCTTGAACTTTTATTCGTAAAACCGAGATTTCCGCTAAATCGAGATTCACTGTGTGCTCGTATAGAATATTGAGATTTGTTTCATTTCTAAATATTGAAATTGTGGAAGTATTTAATTATTATAAAAAGGCATTTTTATTAGACTGTCAGAATTTATCAAAATCAGTGGAAATATTCAAGGAGACATAAAATTATTCAAGAGAACTATATATTAATAATTTATTTTTTGTGTTACATTTGCTTATTTTGAAGATTTTTAGTATATTTTTTGATAATGTTAAAGTTCCAATTATTAGTATTAATTAGTTTTACATTAACAGCATTTTTAATAACATTATTACCAACTATTCAAGCTGCAAAGGTTATTCCATTTTGTAAATGTACTTGTGGTGAAAATTCTACAATTTTTGCTCTGGAAGTAGGTACTCTTTGTTCAGAATGTAATAAAGCTTTTTGTATACAAGAAATGGGCGACGAATGTTCTGGCGTTAATAATGATGACTCTGGTAATGTTTGTGACATTCAAGCAATTGCAACATGTTTTGGTATGTTAATTTTAAAGAATTGGTCAACAAGAAAAAAAGAAGTGCCATAATTTATATTTTATTTTATATATAGAACGAGATTCTTACAAAGACGAAGCAATAGTTTATTTTTACATAATAATTACATGTGGTTTATTATTTGCAGCATTAATAAAACCTTTTATTGAAGAATGGTTAAAGGTTTGTTTGTTTGTTCATTTTCTATCCTATTTATCCTATATTATTTTTTCGTTGACGTCTAATACTAAATTATTTTTGATTTATTGCATAGAGAACTAATTTTTACTCATCAATGCCAAACAGTTAAAGTATAATAATAATAATAATAAAGTATATATGTTGAATCAATATATATTATTAACATTAATATTAGTTACCGTTTTTGTTTCACATTCATATAAGATAACCAGTCCCAAATGTATAAACTCATTACTGAGTTTGCTCTTCTTTCACTTTAGCCTTGACTTAGTTATTCAGGCTTCATCTAGTTAATTCAATTTTTCTGTACTGACTTTATTTAGCCTGGCCAGCATCTGGACCTTTTCTTTTGTTTAGTTTCTAATTCCTTAACTTTATTTTGTAGTTCCTGAATAGCATTTGTTTTTCTTGTTCTCTTTTTTCTTTTTGCTTATTCAATAAACCAATATTTAAATAACCAGGATTTTTTTTTCTTGTTCTAATTGTCTTTAATTAAATTACCTTTAATTCTTTTGCTTAAAATGCTAAAGTAGCAGTATTAATTACTTATTGTTTAGCTACTGAAACAGAGATGCTAAATCTTTGGAAAGTTTTTCATAACTTTGATAATACTGTTTTTTTTTTTTTGCACATTTTCTTTATCAAGTGTCTGTCTCCATATCATTAGGAACAGGATTAGGAGTAAGTGACACATAACATCTTAATTATTTTATTGCTAAAGATGACTTTATTAGTGAATGAATTATCATCAATTAGCAGGGAAGATCTTCTGAAACAACATCAGTAAATCAATTAATCTAGTGATATTATTATTATGTATAATTAAAAAATGGTTTTGTGTAAGCGTAAGGAAATTTATTTTATAGATATTTTTCACAAACATATTAGGCTGGACTAGAAGAATTTTGGATAAGATTAAAGAATTCAAAATCCTAACTTTAGATGAATTTCTTGGAAAACCTAAACCTATATATATTTGTTTCGGAATAAATATTACAGTCATATTAATCTTCCTTTATCAATTAAGTAAAGGTTAATCAACCACATACGAAAGATATGATGCAATAAAAACTTCATGATGGCCGGAGGGTTGTGGGTTTTATTGAAATTTTGTATTCGGGTCTTTTTTTTGAAGGACCTGTTGAAACCTCAATTATGATGTACATGTACTTCTACCCCAAATAGTCAACAAAAAGCCAACGACAAGTAAAAGGAGGGCAACAGAAATAGAAATAACATCAACCCTTCCCTTCAGAAATCGAGCTTTTTTGGAGTAAAGCTCCTTTAATAGGGAAGGGAGGCCAACAAAAGAAGGGTCAAATGTATTTTTGGTTATTATTATTATTCTGTTGCTCTTCAATATTATTATTACGCAAGTGATTTTTATTTTATTTTATTGAATCCGTCAAAAGATTGTGCACTGAAGAACCCAGGGACCCGAGCAGACTCAAAATTGGTTTTTGCAAGGATGAGAAATTGCGCGTCGCTTTTTTTTTTCATGCGCATGCCACGTCTCTAAGGCAATGCATTGTTTTATTTATTTATCTTCATATATTTATATAGTACATATTATTTTCCAAGCCGGCCAAGCCAACCGTTAAAAATTTAATAAGCGGCCTAACTTTTTTTTTATTATTATTAAAAAATTAAATATATTTGAATACTATCATAACAACGTTCTATTCGCTAATTAAATAAAAATAAAATCTCAAGTTTCCATTTTATCAACTTCCTCTTGTCCCTCTTCTTCCTCCTCCTCGCCTTCTTCCCCTTCTTCACTTTCTTCTTCTACACCCTTTTTAACATCAATATCAACATCAAATTCTTGATCACATCCCACATAAGAATCGGACATAAAATATATTCTCAATTTGTATTCGCCAGGTTTATTTGGACATGTAAAATCTAATTTGATTCTAAGCCGTTTGTTAAGTGTGATACGTTTGATGCCAAGTAATGAATTATCATTTGAAATACCAACTACAATCCACCACCCTTCATCTTTTTTCAACGGAAAGAATGGTGCAATTACTGGACCTATATTAAAATCTTCTTCGTCCTCTTCATCAATATCTCGATTCAATGATACTTCAATGGTACCCTGTGAATTTGCCACAAGTTCATCTTTGTCCAATAAAACATGGTTAAATTCTATATTTGGATACCTGTTAACATAACGAGCAACTTCTCGAAGTTGTTTATTGTTCATTTGAAGTAAACTGTTTCGATCATCATCGTCCAAATCTATAATATCAAATACTGATTCAATTCCCTTTTTTTCACAACGTTTAATAAGATCCGTTGTAAAGTATGGAATTTGTTTCAATGGTGAATCTTGATCCCAAATAGCTTGTACACACATTTGTGCTAATTCCATTGCTGCTATTGCTGGGTTAAGATATCCATTAGAACTAATTACATCCACCATTGCTTGAATCAAAGGAATTATCTAATAAATAATATATAAATTTATTTTTTATTTTTTTAATTATTAACAATTAAAATTTTTTTAATTAAAATCATAAAACAATTCTTATTACCTTTCCCAATACAATATTTTGATCAGAAGACAAATCTGGTGGCAACTGAGTTCTTGAAAAATGCGCTTGTAAAAGAATGTTGGTCTTTGTTCTGGTTGAATTAAAATCAGGATTTCCAAGTTTAAATGGAAGTCGATCATAAATCCTTTTTAAAACAATGTCTTCATGATGTCGAATTGGAATATAAAAGAATTCTTTGGCAGCTGAAATAATATCTAAAAGTCCTTTGAGTTTAGTTTTTTCCGTTAAGGCCTTAGAATATGTTTCTAAAGTTTCATAGCTGACATTGTAATAAGCTGCAATCATTCCCAAATTTAAAGGTGCCAAGTCTAACTCATCTTCGATTGTTATACATTGTGCCTCTGCAAGTTGAAGCACTGTATTTTCAACTTGGTCTGACAAATGGTCTGATAAATGTCTATGGTCAGATCCTTGCATATTATAATAATTGGGATTTTCAACCATACGGCGATACAAAAATGTCCATGTCAGATAGTCAACTGCATCTTGCTTATTTTCTATTGTTTTGGTGACTATCTCTGCATTGAAATGATCATGCAAAAAGTTGTGTAAATGTGACTCAACCGGTAATGCTTCATATAAAAATTTCTTATAAAAATCTTTTTTAATTCCTTGACACATAAGCACACAACGTCCTGTATCATCTTGACGTGGACGACAAGCTCGACCCATCATTTGAAGAACATCAGATATTGGATAGTCAGCATACATGTGTGATGTTCCTTCATAGTACTGAGTTCCCATAATAACAACCATGTGACAATTTAAATTCAAGCCCCAGCAGGTATCACGTGAAGCAACAACCACTTGAATAGCTCCACTCTCAAATAATTGCTCTACAATCCTTTTATCTTGTTTACTAAGAGCTTCATGATAATATCCAACGCCATGACTCAATGTAGCTGCCAATGCGTTATCATTTAGATTGCTTAGATGTTTTTCAATATCTTCGTGGTTGGCATGGAGGAAACGATCGTTTGATCCATCTGCTGCACAAAATGTAAGTAAATCTACAGCTGTCAGGCGACACTGTTTACGTGAAGGAACAAAGACAATTGCTGGCTTGTCTACTGAATATGTTGTAATTGCAACATATGTAGGTTTAGACATAGCCATCATTAATGATGCAAAATGTGGGATGTTGTAACTTTGTATGTGTATTTCTAAAGGAACAGGTCGAACACTAGGATGAAAGTTAAATATAGTGTGGGGCTTTGCCCCTATCCATTCTCCAAGGTCTTGAGCATTAGCAAGTGATGTACTCAGACAAATAATCCGAATTGAATTTTTAGTTTGATGTGCAATATATCTCATTCGAGAAACAATAATTTCATATGTTGGTCCTATATCGCTTCCAATTAAATGCAACTCGTCGGAAATAAATAGAGAAACTGTTTGAACATTTTTTCGTTGCTTCCACCTACGTGACATGACATCCCATTGAGTTGGAGTTGCAAATATTACATCGCCGCTTTCTAACAATCGTAGATCAGCACTTGTCTCACCAGTAAGTGATACTATGTTCTTTCCACCTTTAATCCTGCCAAATTTTTGTTTCCATTCAACAACCTGCCGATCAACAACCTCTTGAAATGGCGCAATATATACACATCGACCAGGATTTGGTTTAGACCATAGTCGGAGCAATGCAAACTCTGCACAAACAGTTTTTCCACTTCCTGTAGGTGCTCCAACAAATACATTATCATCTGAATTGTACAAAGCATTAAATACTTGTGTTTGAATAGGATTAAACTTATCAACCCATTCATTGTAAACGGCCTCATATTCATCATTTTGTAAAGCGGAAACAGGTAATGGTTGTAAATCAAGAAGTTCAGTGTGAGGAGGATATTTTTTTGGTAGTATCAGATGTTTAAATGAAATTGGCCATTTTGTTTCACAGTGTA